CCAGTCCACCGCGGGGGCGAGCAGGATGCCCTGGACAGACCGAGAGGCCTGCAGCCGCGGGCGTCTTGGCATTTCAGGCTCTTCCCGCTTCCCTAGTCAAAGTGTGCCCAGAATTTGCAAGTCACCCCGGCCGGCTGCAGGGATGGGGTGGGATGCGGTGTTGCTGGGGGTAATGAGTATGTGTTATTCAATTTTTTTCACCTCACCTTCCCGCCCAGAGCAGGGTGAAAAATCCTTTTGCCACAAGTTGGAAGGGTGATGCCCATGTGCAGGCTAAGCTTGGGGTGAACCGTCTCTGCTCTCCAGGAAAACTCTCAGGGGTTAAAAAAAAAAAAAAAAAAAAAAAAAAACCTTTGAGACAAGCCCAGGGTTGCATCCCGTTAGTTTAAGAAAAGCGTCTTTTATTCGCCCCAGTCATTTGGACAGAAGCCCAGGTTAATGTCCCGTCCGAGCTCCTCCCCAAGTATGGATCCCCTTGAAAAGCTTTTGAAAGGGACTGGAGAGGACGCTGCAACAGCCGGCTAGGGCTGCGGGACCAGAGGGCGGCCAGCATTTCGCTCCCATGGACCATGGCAACCCCAGAAGTTTTGCAGTTCCTGGCGGAAATCGGCAGCTGTTGGAAGCCCAGGATTTTGCAGCGACTCCTTGGTGTAAAAGGATTCCGGAGGGTGACCTCCCTTGTTGACCTTTATTTCAAAACATCATTGTGTCTGGACAAACAGGCACGTACAGAGCCCAAGAAAGGAACTCACATTGGAAACGCATGAAATTCTGAAAGTAAATTTATCTGCAGACCCTCCTGTCTTTTTAAGCCTTAAATCACAATAAATAAATAGATAGATAGATAGATAATCTATTACCTAATTCCACCTGGGCCTGGTAGACGAGCTCCAAGGTCAAGAGATGACAGTACCCTTGAAATTCGGAATTCTTTCCTACTCAGAAGGGTGATTCTCACCCTCTCATCCGAATACCATCCAGCTCTTAAGCTTCTCAAGTAGTCATAGATACCATAGAATGGGACGAAAAGCACTGCCAGTGACGGAGTCAATATACACTTCCTGGTTTTGCATTGAGCCCATCTTTTTCAATTTATTTATTTTTGAAACTGTCTTTCTATATAGCCCTGGCTGTCCTGAAACTCACTATAGTGATGAGATTAAAGGCATGCCCTTCTGCACCTGGCAAGCCTATGATTTTGTTATTCTTGGGGTTTACTTTGTTTATTGAGATTGGGTCTCACTATGTAGCCCTGGCTGTCTTGGAACTCACTATACATAGACCAGGCTGGCTGACAATTCACAGAGATCTGCCTGCCTCTACTTAGTGAGTGCTGGGGTTAAAGGCATGTGCCACCATCCCTGGATGCTTGAGTTGTTCTTTTTTTTTTAGTTTTTTATTGCTTTTATTGAGCTATATATTTTTCTCCATTGTCTTGTTTTTTGATTTTTTTTTAATATTTACTATTATTATGTGTGTGTATGGTATGGGTAAAGAAGAGACATGCAAGTTTCCTTCCGCCTTTACATGGACTCCAGGATTTGAACTCAGTTCTCCAGGCTTTGCTAGACAACATCTGGGAGTCATCTTGTTAGCCCCTGCTGAACCTACCTTTATTTAAAATAGATTGATTTGCATTTTTTGTTTTTTATTTTCTTTTTTGAAGAATTCATTAAACTCACAACAGTGATACACACACACATACACACACACACACACACACACACACACACACACATCTATTGATCCCAATATATGGGAGGTGGAGCAAGGTCAGAAGTCCATGGTCATCTTCTGTTACATACAGAGCTGGAGGCCAGCCTAAGCTACTGATATCCTCTCTAGAAAAGCAAAAGGCCCAGTTTGGTGCCACAGACCTTTCATCCCAACACTTAGAAAGCAGAAGCAGGCAGATCTCTGAGTTTTAAGCCAGTGAGATAGAGATGCCCACCACCAAGCATGAAGATCTAAGTTCAATCCCTGGAACCCACATGGTGGGAAAAGAGTACCAGCTTCTAATAGTTGTCCTCCTCTGACTTCTACACAAACACTACGACACATGTGTGCTCCTACCCCACAGTTACACACAAAGTCAAATATCACCAAAGAATGCTTTACACAAAGTTACTTGCTAAGTCCTCCAAAATAAACACTCAAAACTCTTTATCCGATCAAGCCACTGTGCTTTGTTCCTTTGTTTTCAGATGGGGTCTTTTTTTTACTTATTTATTTTATGTGCATTGGTGGTTTGCCATGGGTATCGGGTCTGGAGTTGTAGACAGTTGTGAGCTGCCATGTGGTTACTGGGAATTGAACCAGGGTCCTCTGGAAAAGCAGTCAGTGCTCTTTACCATTGAGCCATCTCTCCAGCCCCGAGATGAGGTCTTTTATAACTTAAAATAACCTTAAATTCCTGGTGCACCCACGTCTACTTCCCCAGTCCTAGGATTAGCAGTATGTGTAGCCCACCTGCTTTATGATGCTGAGGATCCAATAGAGTCTCTCAGGCGCTATAGGCAAGCACTCTAACAACTCTGGTACATCCCCATACTACTCTCTTTGGGGGAACCATTTTTTTTTCAAACACCGCAGCCTATCTCAAAAGACAAAACAAAAGAAAAAAAGAAGAAAGAAAAGAAAAGTTGGGGATAAGACCCTAGATCAGCCAAGATTTATTTTCAGTCTCTCATTTTTTCCTAATTATTTATTCATTTGATTTTGAATTTTTAGGACAACTTGAGGGAGTATTGTGATTTCAGTGCGAGCTGGACCCTGGCGTTCTCACAGCGGGTAAGGACCTTACTGTGGGCAGAATCAGATATACCATACAGAGTTTGAGTATGGAGTTATGGAGTTTATTGAGAGAAGGGTAGAGTGAAGGGAAGGGAGAGAAAGAGCCGGGCGGGGGGGGGAGGGGAAGAGACCTGCTTGCCAGAGAAAGTGTGAGTAGCTTGTCTTATTTTTTGGTTTGCTTATTTTTGGTTTTTTGTTGTTTTGGGTGTTTTGGGTTTTTCGAGACAGGGTTTCTCTGTGGCTTTGGACCTGTCCTGGAACTAGCTCTTGTAGACCAGGCTGGCCTCGAACTCACAGAGATCCACCTGCCTCTGCCTCCCGAGTGCTGGGATTAAAGGCACTGCCTCGCTGCACAGCAAGGATGTTATTTCTATAAGCAATGCTGCCACTTGTGGTTTTATAGAATTTTTTTGCAAAGCAAAAATGATGAAAGAATGATAAATGGCTTTGTTTAGATTCCCAGGAACAGCTCTCAAAAGCAAACCATCTCTGAACCACAAGAGCACGATTGCACATATTCAGTTAACAAAGAGCACAGGCTCATCCTCATGTACGTTGCACTGCACGCTTTCTAAGTAGACCATACTGCTTTATACTGCGGGGGTTGGACAAAATTACTTACAAAGTTGCCACCACATTTTTAAGATTCTGTGACTTTTTTTTTTTAAACTTTG